CCTGGGCACACTGCTGGCTCACGTTCAGCCAGCTGTCAACCAGCACCCCCAGGTCCTTTTCCGACAGGCAAATACGATCATATATGATTATATGGATTCACCTGTGAGTCCTGGACTCCTCCAAAAGCATCATTCTAGCAAGTGTTGGAGACTCAGCACAGCTACAAAGCTTAATACGTTATCTGGTCCTAGAGTGGCTCAAGGACTGATTAGAACAACTTTTTCTTGCCCCATTTTGGAGGACAAATGAACTGAAAGCCATTTCACCTCTTTGCCCACTGAACATACGTGTGAACACAAACATAGGTGACAACTAGAGAAAAGTCAGAGGACAGTCCTGCACACTTCTGGAGTGGCTCACAACAGTTTTTACCTGTAGTGAGCAACCTCTATGGTCTGGTACCTTTTTGGCACCTTATGCTGTTAATTTTGGGTTAATTTTCTGTAATGCTCCTTCTGCGTCAACATAGCCTTGTTGTTGGTACAAAGATGACTTAAACCAAAATCGAGCCTTTTGTCTTCCCTACCTGTTTTTTCCAGACATATTCTTTCTACTTTATTATTGTGTGCTTGAATCATACTGGAAACAGGCTAGATCCCAGCCCCGGAGCGTGGGATGTCACGCATGTGCACGCACGGACAAACATAGTTGTATTCCCGCAATGCTCTCTGAGCACTAGAGACGTACTGTGTCTCAGGTTGATGAAACAAGTGCATGTAGTAGAAAAGAGAGAAAAACACTGCTGTTAATTTTAAAAAGGGAAACAAGTAGCGTTTTCATTCTCACCAGGAAAGGCCATTTTGAAGTTAAACACCTCATTGATGGTGCTAATACCGTGCATTTAATTTTCAACACTGGAAGAAAAGACATGTTTTTGTTCCCACTAGGGAAGGAACTTCTAAATGCCACATTGATAGTAGTGTTGTTAGAGTCATTTGGGGCTTGATAATAGCTTCTTTTGGCAAGATATAACTAAAATCTCAAGGTGAATCATACCAGTGTCTATAATCACAGTATTGCACCTGCACTTCCTGTATAATAAAGTTTATTTCTGCCTTTGTAAACCAGTGAATTATTATTTCTTCAAAGTCAAGTCCCGCTGAAACACAGAGGGCAGTAGCCCCATTGAGTTCAATTATGTTCCGTGCAGTTAAGGTTAATATATAGTGACACTCTTTATCCAGCTTAATACGAGAAGTGTGCCCTTAACATCACAGCAATGCAAAGATAAAGCTCAGAGTTATCGCCACAGAAAGGCGGTAACAGTGGGATCTTACTGGCCTGGCACGATAAATCCTCTGAGCACCATCTCTAGGTTGGTCCCTGCCACAAGCAGTAAATACGCACTTGAGAGCCCTGGCTTAAGTTCATTAGAAATACAGCTTGAAGAAGGATGGGGAAGAGACGTTTTGCTGTTTCCCAAGATAACATACGTGTTCTGCTGGAGCAGATCATCGAAGGTCTCCTAGCCAGGCAAGGGACAGCGCTTCCAGGGAGAAGCATCTGCATGTGCCAAGGTAGCCAGTCGTTACTGTTCAGTAAACTAATCCTTGGCATAAAAGAAAATGCTTGCTAAAAGAGCATTAATGACTACGTAGGCTTGTCAATGGAAGGGAAGTTAGAGAAAATCGGTGTTTTTATTTCACCAGTTACGCAACTGTTGTTATGCTACTGTAAGCAGCTCCGGATTACAAAATCATCCACTCTTCTGAGATTTCTCAGCTGAGGAAAATGCATTGTGTAATTGCAGTGGATAAAACTAAAGGTAAAAATGAAGAGCTTAATTGATAATAATTTTCCTTTACACATACGTGCTTTTATTACTAGCTTAAATACTATTTTGCATTTAGTGATATGTTATACTTGAAATATATAACAATGCCTACAATAGGGTTGTCAGTTGTTTAAATGAGTTTGTTAAGCTTTAACTACTAAAGGTAGCATACAACTTGCTACATTTGGTTGCTAAACTGTGCTTTAGGTAGCATACCACTTGCTAAACGTCCATGGCTTGGCGTGAAATTTTCCATGCTGAGGATGGAAGTTTAGGGTGACTTTACTGCTACCAAACATGATCTAAGAACAAAGGCAGGAAAAAAAGGGCTTTAGGATAAAATATTGTGAAGATCTTATCTTTGAAGTGCTTAAATGCCTTTATGCTCTAGAGCAGACTTGGAATTTGTCATGAAAAACTGAATTGGGAAGAGAGTGTCTGATCTTCTGACTAAGCATCATTTATAAGCCTTTGAAGAAACAAGTTTTCCACATTCCTGACTTAGCATGTGCCCCCACCGTCCTTGCTACTACTGCATTCAAGTCTACCCCAGTTGTGGGCTGCAGGGCCCAAAAGAGTCCTCTGTTTGCCACTGTGGACTGGGGTGGGTCTCTGGACTGAGAGTGAGGCTATGGAGACCATCCCCTGTGCTCCCAAAAAGCTGCTGTTTTCTCCTCTTCACAGGTGCTTGAGTGTGTCTGATAGGAATGGTGAGGGGACGACAACCTGACTGAGGGGGCGGAAACAGTAAGTATGGAGGCAGAGGATATGATGAAACTGAAACTACTAGGAGGTAGAAAAGCTTAACATGAGAGTAATAGCGAT